ATGCCTGAACCTACAGAAACGTAGGCCTCCATCTCTTTTCTTGTTTCTTTGGAGCTCTTTCTTTGAAAAGACAAGTAGTACAAGGAATACAAAATAATATTCTACATAAATTTTTGATTTTTTAAATTTTGTTAACTAGGTGGTTCTGCAGGATGTATGGGAGTTCCACAGGATAGGAGCTTTTGAAGACCTTGAAAGCATTTCCCCTCTTCTGCTTAGAACTGAAGAGAACGCACAGCAAAACACCTCTGCCTAACAGAAAGCAGCAGCAGTAACAGGATCTACACTTGTTTCACCTACAAAATATGGGATTTTGATTTCTTCCTGGGCTTTCTGTACTATTTTTCCCCCCTCCTGGGTCTGATTATGGTCCTCCTTCCTTGTGCCCTATGGCATTTCACGGGGGACTGGATCTTTGCTTGTTCTACTGGAAAACAATTAAGCTGCCAATAACTTTCTGAAGAAAATCTACACTGCATGTTTGCAGTGTCTATTTCCAGAGAGAACATTTGATGTTTGAGGTTGTCTTTGCATACAATTTTGACAAAAACCAATCATGATATGACTAGAATGTAGCCTGAATGTTGTGTGTTGGATGTGTGCACTCTTCTTTCCACTTGTCTCAGTGGCCATAACTTTCATAACTGCAAAGCTATCAAGTTTCATTTTCAAACCTTAAATTGAAGATAAACTGGAGAGTAAACTCTCAGAACTATACAGCAGAAAAGGAAGGAACTAGTGTGGGGAAACAAAATAATAGCTAAACCAGAAACTAGAAAAGAAATGGGAAGTTTCCTGTCTGTGTCTAATTGGGATAAAACAAGGAATGACAAATGTAAAGTGTAGAGAATGGATATTAAGACAACGGGGAAAAGAGACTTTAGGAAAAAAAAAAAGACTTAGGGAAAACTGTATAACACTAAGGCCAGTGAAGTGCTGGAACAAACTGCCTTGGGAGTGCTGTAGAACTGCCATCAAGGAAAGATTCAAAGACAGACTAGGTAATTTCCAGTTAAGAAGTGTTAAGATACTGATGAATTTGCTATGGAGGGGACAGGGTGCAGGACCAAGTAATGCAGTCTGCTCCAGTCTTATTAAATGTTATTTGTTCCACATCCCTTTTCACAGGTCAGTACATAAATGAACTAGCTCAATCTGAGCTCCAAATCTGGAGACTTTTTAGTATCATCCAAGGCAAAATTGCAACCAGAGTTCTGCTGAATAAAAGAATATACATAGCAAGTCACTCCCCTCTGTGTCCAAAGCAGTGATTCTTAAAAATTTTATCTGTCTGTTTCTTGTGGATAATACTGATTTCATTCCCATGTGGCTTTAAGGTTCCCTTATAATCTGTGTTCCTGGACACAGGTATTCCATATGCCCCAAACTGGCCTGTTGTCAAAAGCTATTGCACCTTCCTCCTTGATCAGAGCAACTGCTACTGACTGAGTCTACATGCCTCTGCTCTTGGTACAGCTCAGTAGCCACAATAATCTGCCTTAACACAGACTTCTTATGTAGCATGCTTTTTGTCTAGTCCTTTCACAATGTCTGCTCTCAGACACGACTGAAAACTCTTCCTGATTCACTTGCCATGAACACAGCTTTATGTGTCTTCCCTGTGCATTTTCTCAACACGGGGCTCATGTAGTGCAGATGATTTCCTTCTGTAACTCAGCAACATTCCGAACATGTACATAGACAAATGAAGCTGTTAACTTCATCTGCAAGAGCCTGGACTGAACCACTTTCACTTATTTTGTAGAAGTTGTGAAGTTCTGAATTTTACACAGAACTCCTATTTCGGTACAGCACATATTGGAGCACTGAAAGAAAACGGATATCAACTATTCTGGTTTGCGCAGTCTTTGCTTTGTGTCACATGTCAAGTCAAGACTGTTATGTTTATGTGCAATGGCAAGGAAACAATTTACATCCACTAAGTTTTGCTTCATCAAAAACTTGAGAAAGATTCAGAACAAGATGAATAAACACTACTTCACTTTCTAAAATAATTAACTGCTCTTATTAAGTCACAGCTGTGTTGCTGTAAATGTTTATGCCTGCAGCCTTCTGCAGCAGAATTCTCATCGCAGCCATCACAAGCTGCTGTTCTCTGGAGTAGTGAAAACTCAGCAACAAAAGACTCGTGACTGAAGTGCAGGATCAGATGATCAGTTCATTCAAGATTAGAAACACAGTGAGGATAAAATCCATGCAATTACCTTCCTCTCCTTTGAGAGGTGGGGAGGAAAAGAAGGGATCTGAGTACCTGTGAAGAGGGCGTGGTAATGCAGACCCTTTTCTTTATCCTGATGAGAGCAGACATCAAATAAATATGCTTTGATGGGGCCATCAATAAAATCAGCTGCAAAATCAAAAAGTACTACTCCCAGCATGGTAATGACTATGGCCCACGTCCGCTCCTTGTCTCTCTCATCGATGAAAGCTACAAAAAGAAAAACACCCTCATTCTGACAGCAACAGTGCCATGTTTTGCAAACCCACATTTTATCTTTACTGATACCTCCAACTCTAAACAATGAATAGTTATGCAAGAGAGAGCAGTGAAACCAGAATAACATCAGAGAAGCAGGAGAGCTGGGTCTGTGCAGTGCTGAGCTGACTTACTGCCTTGAGTCAGCACATGCTCAGAGTGCTGCAAGCTCCACAACCAAGAGCATCACTATCCTTAACCTACTCTTTTGCACCTCCATGGCGTGCTCTGGTAGCCTAACCCATGCATTTTGTAGTATTTTGGTTCATTCTATTTATCCCACCCTTCCATTGAAAACAATGGAATAATAGACAATTAGGAGTTGACTGCAGCATTTCTTTCTGGGCAAATGAATACAAGTATATTCAACATCAGTGATATCAAGGAGAAGAGAATAAATCAATCCATAAAAACACACCCCTCCCACCTCTGCCCAGTCATAATGTCAGCAACACCTTTGCATCAAGACTCTAAGAAGTTACACCCCAAGCTGAAATACAACAATATCTAGGGATGTTACTCCTATTTGATTTTGCATGTTCCAGGTGAATTTCTGGTTTTCACCAGCATAGCAAAGTCCCAAGTCAAACCAGTGCTGCAATAACTGAAGATATGTATTTAGAATGTTAATCTATCTAAAATAAGGATTACAGATAGATACTCAGTTTGGATATGTATCACATCACAAAACTGATACTACCATTTGAGATAACAAGGCAGACCTTATTTTATAAAAACTTCTATGGGCCTAAGCAACACTTTACTTGTACAAGTGGATCGCAACCACACCAAGATAGAGAGACTATAATTACACACGCAAACTACACAACACTATGTACAGGCTATATAACACACAGCATTAGGACTGAACGTATACAAATATTTCAATGCTCCCCAGCTCCTTCAATACAGTTGAGACACATGATACCCAATTTTAAGAGTCCCTTTTAAGAGGGAAAAGGTAAACCCCTCTCTGATTCAAAAGGCTAGGGTGAGTTTTGTCTGTCAGCACACCGCATGCCCCTCACTCACCTGAGATCATCACGTCCCCATTGAGGTACAAAGCCATGCCTAACAGCATTATGATGCCCAGACCCAGAATGTAAGGTCGCCTCCTGCCCCAGCTAC